ACCATGTGTTAACCTGGTGACACGTCTGCTCCATTCCACACTCAGCTATCCACCGTGATATGGTCTGTGCCGAACAGCGACCGACTATTTCTTCTGGGTAATTTCAACACACGCGTCGGGCGTGACGCGTCAGCGTGAACAAACGTCATCGGTCCGCATCGGATTGGTCCAGCGAATGTGAATGGTGACAGGCTGCTCTCACTGGGTGTCACTCACGGCCCGACGATCAAGAACACTCGGTTTGCACTGAGTGCGAGTGATATAGCAACCTGGACGCACGCACGGAGTGGTCACGCTCACCTGCTCGCCTATGACATCGTACGTCATCGTGATATGCCTGAAGTGCGCATGACACGTGTACTGCTTGGAGCTGATTGTGGCACTGATCAAAATTAGTGCGGTCCAAACTGTACATATATTTTCCTAACTCCAGATATTGTCCTCTCGCCGAGAATCGGTGTAAGTTTAACATTCTCTCCCTCGGGACTGTGGCGAAACGTATTGAGTTGCACAAGGCGATGGCTGCACAACTGTGAGATGTGAAATGCATAGCCACAATGAGAGCCCTGTAGCACTACATTCGCGACCAGGTGATAGCTGCTGCCCAGAACATCGAGGGCGCGCAAACTGTAAGCGGCCTGACTGATTTGATGAGAACAGTGACGATTAGCGCATTGGTGTCGGAGAAGAATGCAGCATTTGGTGCATATGTGATAGACCGCAGTAACTTGGGTAACAAGAGACAGTTTCGCAAAATTCGACGGCAAATGTCCCGAGCGATCCGTCCAACTAAAAATGTATGGTGGACGGAAGAGACGAAGCAGATGGAATGTTACGCCTAACAGCGCTAACACAAAGAATTCTTTGACACCATAAAGATGGTGTGGAACCCTAGGTTGGAGTCGCTGAGGACACTGATCGATCGTAGCTCACGCGGTATCTGCACACAGACTGCAAACGTAATGCAGATCTGACGGAAACACTTCGACTGTCTCTTGAACAACCGTTTAGAGATCGACCGGTTTACATTAAACATGCTAGAGCAATACGATGTGAAGACGAGTCTGGCTGACACGCTAACACTGGATGAGACGTAGAGGGCACTTGCTCAACTACAAAACGGCATGTGTGTTGATGCCGACGGGATCCCGCCTGAAGTATTGAAATACGGCGGACTCGCGTTGGTGACTGCGCCGCACCACTTGGCGTTCCAGGATGATTCTTTTAATTATCCTGATCATACCACATTGTATTGAGGCGGCATAGTGTTCCGCTGTCCACTTAGACAGGCATCTGGTCGTGTGTCCTAGGTTCCTTGCACCACAGAACTATATATATATATATATATATATATATATATATATGCCGCCTATGCCGCCTCAATACAATGTGGTATGATCAGGATAATTAAAAGAATCATCCTGGAACGCCTAACAGGTAGTGAACATAAAATACAAACGAAAAATGCAACCAAAAGAGCAAACACTGCATCAAAACGCTACCCAAAATTCTCAGAAAGGTCTACGGCAGTTGCAATTGCGATCAAGTGATTAAAGTCGGAACTGAGTAAGCCGCGTGTACTTGTGCAAAATTTAACCCTACCGTGGTCAAGCTGATATCAAGCATAGTTATCTATGACAATAGGTTTAATTTGACATTGATTGCCACTGTTTCTTTGACGGAAGCATATACGACCAATCGCTGCATTACTGGCAACAGCTCCCATTCCAATGAGTACACGTCTCACGATTGTAACTGCCTGATGAAGTTTATGGAGAAGAAATTACTTTGCATTTTTTTGCTGCTATTCAAATAGGGATAATCTGTTAGTTATCCTGTAACAGTTTTATTCCTAGTTGTCTGCTGTGGTGTACAAGCCTGATGGCAGCCACCAAGAACAAGCTTACTCGCGTAGCTAACTTTTGTTCAAAACACTGAATGTCTTCGTTGTGTGATGCTCTTTGACCTGATAGAAATTTATTGACCTAGCAGAATTAGTAGTTTTCTAGTAGGTTGCTCGCTGAATATCATTGCAACAATGTCTACTTCAAGCAACCTGAGGATGTATACCAAGGAAGGCTAACTCGCAGTGGTAAAGTGAGGAAAATGGCGCGGTATATATCAAAATGAGGGAAAACGGATTTACACCCAGTTCTTCAGACCTTAGGGGACCTGGGAAAAATGACAGTAGTGTATCTTCCATCTCAATTAAAGAGTTCGTCTGGAGAACGACATTTTTAAGAGCCGACCTAAATGGCGTTCGTGCTGTAAATTTCTTTGTCCCACCCCATCCGTCTTAGCGTCCCATTTCAAGCGCGATCTCACTTCTTATCCTAGCATAAGGTTGCATAGTATTTTTTTTACCGCATAGTAGCCGGCTGATACGTTTCCGGAACGATGTCCATCTGTTACCGGCAGCTCAGCTGGCTTGCATCTGTTGCAATTTTTGCCCTTTTCTTCTTTTATGTAATGCGGAACAGTGGCTGAGGTGTTTCCATCATCTAGCTATGGATGATGATGTTGTCTGGAGAAAGCTTTACTCTATCGTTGGTTCCGAGCAGTGCTTTGTCTTTCAAGCATTATGACCGCTCCGGAAAAGGGAATTGCCATGGACTTAGTTCATATTACTAAACGTAGAAGAAAATGTGCACGAAGGGGGCTAATATTTGATGCAAAACAACATCATACACGTTTCCTCACATTCAAGCCTGCTTATCACCCAGTACCTTAGGTCCACTTATAGGCCGGATAAGTGATAAGTTCGCCTTCCCGCTGATGACCTAAAAGATCGTGTTATGCTCATCTGTTCTAGGAAAGCTTTTAAACAAAGAGGAGCAATCGCCGCTTGGGCAATGGAAACGGAAAGTCTAGTCTACTGAATACTGAGAATAGAGGGCGAGAAGATAAAAAGCTGTCTTCCTCCATGGTAAATGGATCGGGCAAATGCCCGGAATCACGTCGTTGATTCCTGTGTGGTAACAGCATATTGCAGCTGCACTACATCTTATCCGGATGCGATACGCGCCTTATATTTGTAGTCAGCAAAGTGGGTGTCAGAGAATAGCTTAAGTTCCGAATCTTTTAAATGCGCCTCGACTAGCATCTCCGGCAAGTAGTTCCAATATTCCACCACTTGACGCTCGAAGCATAGAGGGTGAACAAGGCGCTACATATCCGGTACCAATAGTTTGTACCGGTGTCTACGTGTGGTACCTGGTGCGCGAACATGCAGCAGCGGTTTCAGCATAGGGAAGTGGCCCAGGTGCAGTATCCGTTGAGTCATAATGAGATCAAATCGAAGCCGACTAGATGACAGGGTATAAAGCCCTAGTCTCCTACGGCACCCCGTATACTGGGGATGAGCCGGGTAGCTGCATGCTGGATCCGCTCCAGTCTTTGAACCTAGCCTATTGTGATCGTGCAATAGGCGGGTAAGCCCTACGCAAACACCGGTCTTATTATCGAAGAGAACAGACGGGTGGAAATCTCTTCAAACCAATTGCAGCAGCTGCGTCCACGTGCTCAAAGCAGGGGTAGCTCGTTTGCGTACAGTCTGTTCGTGTCGTCGACAGACTTCAGATCATTGCGTGAGAGTACGCCTGGATCCTTTACGGAACTGATGGGCTGCAGCGAGTGGCCGGCTAGGGTATTCGCATGCTCTTAACTACCCCTCCCCAAGCCCATAAACGAGGACTTGGCCGTGTTGACCAGTAGGTCAACTTCTGCGCACCACCCGGATAGGCAGTCGAGGTCCTGCTAAAGAACGTCACAGACGCCCAGATAATTAATAATCCTTTAAATCTGCAAGTCATCCACAAATAATATGCAGGGCGACCGAAGAAGCTGAGGTACTTCGCTGATGCGCATCAGGAATAAAACAGGCCCCAATACTGTACGTTATGGTACACTGCTTGTGGACGGGTACCATTCCTTTAGGTGGTCATCCACCGGAACCCACCATCTTCTCCCAATAATGAAGTCACTGATCCACTGGTGCAGCGCGCCACCACACATCCTGGGCTTGTGCAGCAGGACTTCATGGTTCGCTTTATCGAAAGACTTAGTGACATCAATGTAGACAGCATCCATTGACTTCCCCCGATTCAACGATTGCAACCATGGCTACCGCTTCAATAGCAAGTTGGGGATGCACGAGCAGCTCTTCATGAAGCCGTGTTGTGTCAGCGTTAGTTTTTTCGATCCCAGCAAATGGAAAAGACCCTTTTTCCCAATCTTATCGAGCTCCTTCGCCAAAACAATGGTGAGACAAATCGGCCGGTGATTGTCCACATTGCGTGGGTCGCCACCGTTTGGGATCGGATTTACTGCCCAGCATTTCCTGTCGCTCGCAATGCAGTCTCGAACAGCCATCTTTTGAACAGATCCGTCACAGCAGGTGAGATGATGGCCGATAAAGACTACAAAATTAGCGGGTGAAGATGCTAGTGTCTGGCCAGACAGTGTCCAAGCGATCCATTCTGTGCTATAACAGGCAATGTACAACACATGATTCACAACCAGCACCAAGGGATTAGTTGTTTGGGTCTGCTAGGCGCGACACCTATGTGAAACGTATATGGCACCGAATTGTCCGTGGAGTATGATGCAACGTGACGTGGATGCAGTGAATTCCAAGAGGAAACGGTCCTACCCAAAGCAATTCACCTTCGCACCTTAACCACCTAATTGCGAGGATGCATTTTTGACTTGGTACATATGACTTGGTCCAAAGGGTTCGCTTACGGTGACTAGGCTAAACTGTTATCGAGTGTCGTAATCCCTGACATCAGCATATTTAACTTCATTACTTTTCGAGTAATCGGTAGGCATGAATGGGATTATTGAGACCAAATTTGCGGCTTGCTTCAAGGTTAAGTGACGAACTTTTCATCCAGGAGTTTTGTGTCATAAGTTTCCTTGGTCAGCCAAGTATTGATGTTGTGTCTGTTCGTGTAGCCCCTTTGCAATGGTTCCACAGCCAGATGGAAGTGCAGACTTACCCAAAGTTCTTCTTGTTCCGACCAAATCCCTCCCCCCACCTCGTCGGCGTCCAGACCACCATTGCACTGATCCGCGACTAAATGTGTTTCCTTTACCCCTGTGGCTTGCTCTGAGCCGATCCACCGGTGACATGGAAAACAGACCGTCTTCAATCGAACCCCGTCCAGCGGTTGTTCGCAGTCCAATAGTTTTTTTCCACCTGCGGCACATGGCTTATTTCCGCACATGAGATATTCACGAACTGTTATCTTCTCCAGGTACCAAGTGGGATTAAACCCTTTGATACCACTAAGCCAAATGGACAATCGACGTAGCCGACCAAGGTATACGGCATTGATGTGAAACAGGTTGGTCTAGAGAGCGAAAAGAAGATCGGGTTGGAGATATGTAGTAAATGTATTACTAAGTTATCACTAACCAGTCAAACAAGTGTTTTCTATTTAAGGTGGCAATCGTACCGCCCATAGGGCGAATCTACCGCACCTTTCATACTACTTGGGCCTCCGTTTCAGCCAGTGGAATTAGGCCGCCATTCTTCATGCTCATACGTAGATTATCGTGTTGGGTTGACCACCGCATCGACAAAAATCAACGCAAATAATTTGTTATTGTTACACAAGATCTATAATAGAGTTCACACGATTGCACGCCTCCTGCTTCTGTCGCTGAGGCGCATCAGTAATAATAATAAATAATAATAATAATAATAACACATTTTTCTCTCTTGACGCGAGGAACTGTGTTTGACACAGCACAAATGAATTTGTACAATGGTAGCCATCCTCTTGCATAGGAGATATGCATAAGTGGAAGAATGGGGTGTGCGTTTCATGTAGTTACGTTCTAGTGGATAGTTGAAACGGCAGCTAAACTTTGGAAACATGAGTGTTTAGATGTTTATGGGTCCATCTTGGAATAACTCATCGAGGGATTTTTCCCGCGTGAATATACCGAGAACTGTATTTGGATCAAAATACTTGGCGACTCTGCTTCTAAATGTTGCCATAATGTCACATGACCTTTTTGTTTGGTAGTTTATTCCGCAGATAGCTATAGTTGCCCAGGAAGAAATCGGAGCGAATGGTTATTCTAGCCTTAGGTATATTCAGTGTATATTCGTTATTGCGAACTGCTCGAGTTCAGCTATGTTATAGTTCGAGTATAGGCAGATTTGAATATAACGTTTTGTGTAACAGGTCAAAAATTAGTGGCAAGCTGTATTTCAATCGTCGAATCCAAAGTGGTTCAAGCTGAAGCTCGTTGCAACGATCGCGATAACTCATAGCAGAGTGCTTCCAAATGAAATGTTTAGTAAACGACTTATGTAGTTGCTCCATATTAATTCTGTTACTCTCATATTACCGTATATTATGCTGCAGTACCCGAGGAAGGGTCGAATTAGTAGCTTAAAACGCTCAACCCTAGCACTGGTTGTTTGGATTTAGTTGAATTTGTAGAACACAGGTTGTTTGGCACGGGCAACTTGGTATTGAACCTTTTCGGAGAAATTGAAAGTAGATGAGTACCTAATTCCGAGATCATACGTGGACAGCTGTGTAAGGATGTGTTCATTGTTTAGTGCGGTAAATTCTTCGGATATGGTACAGCCGTACGACATGATGCTTTAGTTCGCAGTGGCGATAAATCCTTGCCAATTTATTCCGCTTCACTTACTGTTATACATCGAGCGAACGATGAACGATACTGTCTTGTATTTCATCTTCAAGCTGTATTAAAGGTTCTAGTGAATTCGGCGCGTTTTACCCAAGGTTTTTCATCTGTAACTACGAAGCTTCGGAGGCCAGGGTGAATAGAATGCTATCCGAGTTATCAACCCCGTAGGTCAGTGGTGCTTAATGTTTTTGATGCCGCGGGCCAGAATAAGAATAGAAAACATACTCAAGAGCCGTATACATTCCTCCCCCTGCTAATAACATATGTCGCTCGGAATTTTTGATCTGCAGCTACCCCCGACGCTTGTAGACACAAAGAATCAGATCCACTTAAATGTACAAAATAGCCGAGTTAAAGATTTTAAGCACACAATCTCGTTCCATTCATGTCATAACCAGGTTAAATATGTTATTTATATTTTATTTCCGCTCATAAATCGTTACTTTCCAATGTGAGTCTTACGTCTGCACTTCAGACACTAGCTACTTGATGTTCGGTTCAAGGTGAGTAACACTTGTTCGTAAGCGTTCTTGGAGATTTTGCTCTCTTGTCCGTGAAATGCTGTACGACTTGGTTCAGTTCGTCGTAGAAAATGCTTATTCGTAGATATGTGTGTGCTTACAAACATGTTTCCCATTTTAATGGCGAAGTAACGAAGGTACGAATAAACATCCCGTGGGAGAAGTGAATCAAAAGCAAGCGGGACTTTTCGCGATACAGGTCCTGCAAGTTTGCTGAGCACTGCAGAGCAACCAGTACCAATTGTAACTTAGGTAACACTGTGGCAGCATCAGTACCAAATGAGTTTTCAGACAATCGTCTTTCCTTAATAAAACTTTAGTTGTCTTGAAACCGCTCTCCGAAATTTTCCTCCAAGATTTTCGGCATGTCAATGGTGCGGCATGTTGGAAGGGCTGTTTGTATATCTGATTGCAGTTCTGAACAAAGAGGATAATTCGCCAATGTGCCTTTCTGTGCATGGTGAATACACAGCTGCAACATCATTTGGGAAATCAAGTTGCCATGACCCCGTAGTCTGGTATTAAGATTGTTCGAATGTGCAGTTAGAGCACACCAAAATTTCTAGATATCATACCCGCGGTACGGACTTTGACTTCGCTGTCGTGAAAATTTAAGTGTTTTGATAAATGTTATATCTCAGCCTATAGAGCTGGGGGCGCACTTTTCGTCGATTCAGCCATCGAACTACATTGTGACACAGCTTGTCACCGTACTCAGTATCGTTGGCTTGGAGCAAGTCCTTAAAGGTTTTTAACTAAGGCCATTGGCTCCTGTAAATTTTAACGTGCCTACTAACGTTATGACACTTTCCGAGTTCGGGACCTTAGCACACATTACCGCTTGTTGAATTACGCAGTGCAGTCCAAACCGCTTTGAAGCACTATTGGATTCCTCGAGTTTCTGACGCCGCTTTTCCATTAGACCGTTGTGCTTTCGAACCACATTTTTGGCTCCGTCGCTAGTCATTGCACACAACTTTATCCACGACGTCGATAGGTATACTGACTGCACCGAAGAGATCTACTGCTGTCGTTGTGCCATGCAAGGTTTTCAATGATCCAAGCTCTTCGGTAACTTCGAAAGCACTGTTAGTTCGCCTGTTGAAAGTAGCAACTGTGAAGTGTCGGCTACAGTTGTTGACTTCTCCCCTGCTATGGAAAACGCTTCAAATTCCACTGCTTTCTCTTGCAGTTGAGTAAGTAGGTCCCTCTCTCCTCCGCACTTCTCGTAATGGTACAACAGGAGGGTTAACAGCTTCAACAGCGACCTTTGTTCCGAAATTATCTCCTCAGCAGCAGCCAGCAAACACTTCTTCACTACCTCTCCATTTGAGAAAGATTTTCATGCGTTGCCTTGGATGTTTGCAATGCGATAGTGGACTTTTATGGGAGCCAGTTGTCATTCTAATCCCTTACTGAAAAATCGTTTCCAATCACAAGCTTCATTCTGTAACACAGCTAGTTTCCCGTCTCAACGTCCGTCTGTGAATGCGTCGTGCGTAGCTTTGTGTTTTGTATCGTAATATCCCTTCACATTTTGTTCCTTCAGGACGGCGACCGTTTCGTTACATAGCACAAAAGCACCGGGTGGTTGAACAAAAATAAATAGTGGTCCGTCTTTTTTGAGATGTCTTGTATATTAAGTCAACATTGTTTTGATTTTTGATAGCGTACTGTTCACCACAATCGTTCCACATGCTCAAAGAGCTTTGGAATGAAACCGTGCCTCTGCTTTACAATTTTACACGACTCTGCACAATGAACTCATCGCAACCATGACGTCAATCGCTGATTGATGGCAATATAAGCATTAATCCTCGAACAGATAAAGTTTAATGAACGAAAATGAAGTTTACAATATTGTTTCACGTAAAATAAGAAAGTTGGTCGTAGATCTGTGGGCCAAATGGAATGCCTCAGCGGAACTGATCTGGCCCGCTGGCCGATTCAGTACCACTGCCATAGATCATTGGTTGTTGAAGGGCTCAGTATAGCACCACCTGCTAATGGAGAGGTTACGTTGTTATCCTCCTACACTCGATGAGCAATTCGAACGAATCACCGACTGGCAAATACGCATGCATAGGTAGTGGAATCAGTATAGAACCGGCTGTACGTACCACTTAAAGTTTGGTCTCTGGCGCTATGCTGTCAACAAACCAGACACATTATAGTCATCAGTCAGGATGAAGTTCGGTGACGGAGAGAATGCTTTCCGGACTACAGGTGTAGGTACAAGTAGCCTGCGGTCAGAAGCGCTGTACAGATCCCACGCTACAGCTGTAGGCATTGCGCTGGATTAAGTCTCGCGTTACCTTCTGATTGCCAGATGCAAGATGCTCTCTGGCTTAAATTGGTTTTGTGATAGGTAACTTCCTCAAATTCAACGCAACCCGAGGTCACTTGTGACATATCACCCGCCTGAATTGATCTTAACGTGAAATCAGTTGTGACACAACTGTGCTTTGACCTTAACGGCCTATTTATCATGCTCCGCACTTGTTAACCCGTGTCCTTTACTTCTTGTGTCCTGTATTTACGCTGCAAGCTAATTTCTCAATAAGTGATATTGCCCGCAGTGCTTCGACTTCTTCCACCAAACAGCGACTGTCACATTGAGAGTAACATCATAGTGTCACACCAGCATGGGTTCCGCCGAATTCGGTGTTGCACTACAAACTTGCTGCTAGCCTAGGCAAGCTGAACAGACCAAGTCCATGCGGAGTAGGAATTGACGTCGTCCACTTAGATTTTTCAAAGCCTTTGATTGTCTGGACTACCGTATTCGTTTACACAAGCTTCAAAGCCATGAAATCAATGACTCCGTGCTCAATTGTGTAAGCAACTTTCTCATTCAACGTAAGCTGAATGTGAGAGTGCGTATCTCCTTTTCCGACCCAAATGAAGTTCAGTGTAGCGTGCCCCAATGATGAGTAATGGGGCCACGTTTATTCCTAATATTCATCAACCATTTTGCTAGTTGCAAATGATGTCAAAATCTGGCATAACATCCAGGCAGGGGATGATCACAAGGCTTTGCAGAGCGATCTCGACAGGACCATACGTGGTCATCCGAAAACCGGCTCCAGTTCAACGTAACGATATTCAGCGTTTTGAGCATGAGCCATCAGCTTATGGCCGATTATCCACTGGGGGATCAGCAAGCTGCTACGTACTTCCCAGGAAAATGACCTCGGGGTGATCGTGCAGGGCAATCTCGGCTGCTCGACACAGACTAAAAACGCATCGAACAGAGCCAGTCAACATCATGGACTCTTAAGGAGGGGTTTAGGAAATTTCGAACTATCCATCTTTTTACAAATGTTGGCCACCTACGTGAGGTCCCACGTAGAATACGTGCTTCAGGTCTGGCGTCCCTGGCGCAAGCGCGATATCGACTCCTGTGAAGCACTCCAAAGTAGAGGGACCAAGCTCGTTAGAGGACTATTTCACCTCCCCTACCTGAGCGGACTACAGGCCCTGAGATTGTACAGCGAATATTTGCGTCAGCTCAAAATTGCCACACACTACAGCCGACTAGATTGTCGACTAAATGTCTTCTGCCTTAGGATATCCCGAACATCGATCGCCCTTCCACCTCACCTCATGCTTGCGCTTACAACAACGCTCTTAAAAAACGTCTTGACGACACGCCTTCCAACGTGCATTACTTGATGTAATCCGTTTCACTCAGAGGACGAGATAACGCGAACCAAACTATGTGTATAACAACATGCTTCTCAATGTGGCGGTGAGGACACGTGCAGCGATGTGGATGTGAATGGCTCGGATGTGCCTAAACTGGATAAAGGTATCACATCGGTCAACTGAAGCGGCCCACGATTAAGCTTTGTCATCCTTTTTATTTTTTTCGGCGTGCGTGAACTATTACTGCTCGCTATATTCTTTCTTGTTTGCACATTCCATTCCAATTTAAAACTATCCTTATGCAGCAGTGCAATTAGCTCGATAGACGCTTAAAATAACAATTCACTTATCCTGTGATTTCGTTTAGTTTTCACTCTAACCATCCTACGGGACTCGTTGAGCCCAAGTCTTTTTGCCAGTGATAAATCATTGCTCATTGTTTATGGCCAATTATTCTCAGCATAGTACAACTTCATGGCTGTAACAGATGACCAACAGAACACTGCGCCACGAAGCAGTGTTTTGACCTGAAAGTTTAAATGCAGCCGAGCTTCACATGCCTGTATAATAAAGGCACTCGACCAACTGGTACACCGTTATGATTAAGAGTGATAATCAAACAATCGGCGAACCACAAGTTGTTTGGACAGGTTTGGTAGAGTAAACTTTCCTAACTGACCTTTCCTCTGATAAAGTTTATCTCTCCTGTTTCGTTTGAGTTGCGTAATGCCCGAATTCCGGAATCGCCACGATCTCCCCACAGCTGCACACTGACTTCTGCATTGGTCCCAGCGTTCCACAGGTTACCGGTGAGCATGCATAACCGGTAACATATCACTGCATTTGGAGAGAATAAAAGAAATTCCTATTGTGTTCAATAGCTTTCACAATCTGCCTCAAATAATTCATCAGTTCTACCAGTTACAGATAAAGCATCTTAAAAGGACTATACATACCTGGGGATCTGTAGCCTTGGAAGGCAAGCCTGAGAGGGTTAATGGCTGGAGAACCCCTTCCGAAACTTGTTCCGAAACGCGAATCCATTAGGTGGGATCCAGGTGCAGCGATTTCTAGAGTCAGTGATCTGTCTCCTTTGGAAGTTGACAGCCATTGCATGCATTGAAAGATAATTTCGGGTTTTGTTTGCTTGAGCAATGTCTCAGTTTCAAACGGTTGCAACCGTGAGACGGATTTGGCTTTTCTCAGCCCTCCACGGAATAGACCGCCTGGCGATTCGGTGTCCATCGGCTGCATGCGAATTTCCGCCGGTAACCACTCAGGATAATGTCCTGTCCCATCGTGGCTCAAGCGAATTTTGTGTACTTCCCTCACATTCTTTAGCTGGATCTTGGAAAAAATTAAATCAAAACATGGTCACTTTGGTCACTCGATTCTTCCGTCCATATATACGTAAATACAAGCAAGTTTGTCCATCTTCTAAGCGGGTTGGTTTCCTGGCTTGTAACATCCGAACAATTAGTACTGAATATTATCAAGCTGTGTTCGTTTGTTTATCAATGCTAAAATATTCTGGCAGTATGCTTTTTGTAGATGTTGGGTGTGCGTGCTCAGTCCGTTCACTAAAGACAGCCGTGGACGTGAGCTCAGCTCCTTCACCATCGCTTGCTAAGCTCTCACATTCAATGCAAAGCAATCTTACCCCATAATCTAAGCATTCCTGGTGCTTCTTCCATCACCTATTTCATCTCGTCCTTGTTTAGCGTCTTGGGTTGAGTAGAATGCGAATCACAGTATTATCACAATGTTCGCCCCAGTGATCAACCACAGTTGATACTATCAATTACAATCGAGAGATTTTGATGCTCGTGCACCAATAACTAGGGGTGTAGGTTTGACAGTCCAAGATAGGCAAATAAACCAAATTACCCTCTACTTGCATACAGGTGCTGAAATAAAAAAGCATAGTCCATTGCGGCGCCATGGGTTGAAACCGTGCGATATCTCCTGCATCAAACTAGGTTTAATGGGAAGAGAAACTAACGATGATAACTGCCACTGAGGCTCCTTATCATAAATAAAGGAGGTGGTGCCGTCTTTTAGCAAAGTGTCGACTGAGCTCTCATGCTGCGTGCTGTGTTTTAATATGCCATTGGAGTGTCGTTAGACCAGTGTTATGCCAATGCGTTTACAACAAGAAAACAGGAAGTTGTGTGTATTCCGTACCAACTCCTTCGGCGTACTCAAGCAAAAAGTAAACTTGTTTAAGTAAGTAAGTTACTCTCAGTAGACGGCCGCCACACTCTCATAAAGTCACTGAATGACTGGCCTAGTCATCAGGAACTCGTCTGTAGCGCGTTTCGACCTTATCCTCTAAAGGGCTGAACCTCCTGACGTCCTTCTTACTGAGAAGCGAGTAATAATAATAGTATTAAGAAGAAGAAAACTAACGAGAAAGAGAGGCAGCATGACTCGTCCTCCACTACTTTATGTGACTCTAGCATACACTGCACAAGGACGAATCAAAGAATAAAGCGCATTACTGGCCAAACCCTAAGGAAAAAGTGACCTTGCAGTGCAAATAGAGTTTGACCATCCGAAAACACTACACTCCACAACCGGCACGGAACCTACTTGCTCTCATAAATGAGAGCTAACAGGTACTAGAACACAGGGCCGTTGGGATGTTAGTTTGAATCACTAACCTTTTCGCTGCCCCGTCTCTGCCGGCTGTGCTTGAGACTGCGCGTCACAATCTGTTTACACAACGAGTGCTTCAGAAATGACCCTTCCGATCGATCTTCCAAAGCTTTCCGAAATCTGGATGGATGTCTAATTTGATCAAAATATTCAGCTTAGATGCGAATTCATTGCATATCTGTTATGGTTTTGAGCTCACAGCCGCCAAAACTGATTCCCTTCGGCTCTTGTTCGAGCACGTACCGTCTAATCAGTTTTAATGTGACAGGCTTATATAACGCTACGATGGCAGACTGGGATGCAGAAAGATTAGGAACACCAAGATGGGGTGTTTCCGTGATGGATATTTAGCTGTGTCAGCCCAGGAGCAGCACCAAAGTTTTGTGGAAGTAGACTGACTTGGGTTGTCTAGTTGAACCACTATGGAAGTAAGTTCGGTAGGCACCATTCTGTTCTGGAGTCCACCTCTCTGCCAGCTGTAGTCGTGTCTTTCGTTTCTTAACTATGCACAACCTAAGAAAAGGTGATTTCCTCGGGTCTAATGAACCTACTTTTCTTTACTGACGACCAACAACTTCCGGATTTCCGAATATACCATCCAATATATTTTTCCCACAGTATCCCCAGACATGACTAAACATCTAGTTAAGGTTAATGGAAAGCTAAAGTTTAGGTGATCGCGTAGATACGTGTTAGGCAGATTTCTTTCTGCTACCAGATAATAGCATAATTATTTACTCCTGCATGTCTACATGAAAATAAACGCCTAATTCTGCAACGGACAAGCAGTACCGGAGCACTTGTGACCTGTGACAGATTAGTTAGGCGGAAACACGTACACTCTGGTAATGATGAACAGGATGAGAGCTTACCTCAAATATATCAGTGCGTCCCGGTTGGAACGGACATCGGGTGAGTCGGGAGTTGGGCACTGCTCCATTCGGTGCGTTGCCTTGCTCCACGCAGTGCGCATTCGATTCGTCGGGCAACGTGTCAACCCAAACTGAGCGAAGCAATATTGGGGTGGAGCTTTCGTGCCGGGTACATACGGTAAGTAGCACGTTGGAAGTGCAAGCCATCAGATAACGATCTCCAGTCTCGGGATGCGTGGTGCCTGAAGTGACCAAAACGCTCCAGATTCCTGTGAGATGGAAAACAACACGCAGTTAACAGTGGCACTTCATGTGTTGTTGACTCTCTTCTGTTCAGCCAATAGGTATTGCCGCGCCATGGTAACCGTTAAACCAGCTAAATGAATTGACATATTAGACAGTTGTGCCAAATATCCCGTTCCAATCAAAAGTTGATCTGCTTTGCACATTTCATCACATAGCATCCCTACTTGATTGATATTCAAAACAGTTACAACCAATAAAACACGCGGGAACATACCATTTGTTGAGGCCATCCGTGAAAGGCTCCAATTGCGGGAAATAGGCGGTAACACTTGCGGGATTCGATCAGGTGATTGACCCAACTTAGAGAACTTGGTTTGAGAGCGACTTCTGTCGAATTTTCCAGGCGTCGCCAGAGGACGAGCTAAGCTTGAGGGCTGGTTTTCAAGCCCGGTGGCAATCACCTCCGATGGTCCACGCAGTAGATCATCTATGGTTGCAATCTAGGAGATCAAACCAGAGCTTCTGATTGTGTGCATAGGTAGTGATATACGAAGAAGACGACTGCAGAGCATTACGGTCCTTGTTATTACCATCAAATTATGATTCGTATACACACGTACACGTACTACTGAAAGTGTGTTTTAGAACAAATAACATGCAGTATTTGGTAAAAATGCGTTTTCTGTCGACCAAATGTCCTAATTTACCGAACTATACATCAGTCGAATATGCATGCTGGTTATTAAACTACCTACAGATTTATTGATTTCGCCAAATCAGCTGGGCAGAACTCAAAAGATGTAAGGTGTTTCGGCCCTACTGCTTTTCAGAACTAACTGATAATAAGAAAGATAACAACCCAGGAGTTTGTTCTATCGTAACCCATGGTCACCCACAATGCACGCTATCGTTTTCCACTGGCTTTCAAGAATACCGCGACCGTTAAACTTCGGTTGACGATTTTCAAACCCAGTCGAGTATTGGCAGCGTCACTCTAAATCGGTTGTCCTACCGGCGTAAATAATGTATCTGTAAGCGGTCCAAATCTAACGTGCCCGCAGTCTTTTTGGTGCCTCCGCCACAACCCCCGCTTTTACCCAGTCCATAGGTTGACTGATAGGTGCCGGTCTTTCAACTCCCTGGACTCCGTCTGTAGCATCATTTACATTGTACTGCTGTTGAAGTAACTGAACTGAGAGAACGCCCCAGATGCGTTAAATAAAGAACTGTTTCCGTGTATGATTTCCATTGATGTGCTTATTAAGAGGACGCCATGCGATCTTACTTGAGTATACGGCCTCATAATTATGCTAAGTCTAAGATGGAGCCCATCAATCTTCGAATGTCTTAGTTAGTTAATTGTCTCCACTAAATCCGCCAGTCATCTTTGCTGCTCTCCAAAAATATCTGCTCCATTAGTTAAAAAGTTAGAGGGCTTTTAGGCGCTCCCATGCGATTGGTTGTGTCGTTCGACAATTCAAATTTCCCAGGGGAATTCTAATCCGAAGACGTTATTTTCCGAGACAGAAACGATTGTAATGTCAGCGTTGGGGAAAAACTGCAAAATTTCATCTCTGATCCCTACTGATACTATGATTCACATAGTTTCTGTCATTTAGTAAAGCGCTTTCTAAAGTGACGAAAGTTTCAGTTGTCAACTTCACTGCATCTATTTTCCTGCTCACTTGTAGCACATAAGCGGCTACTATGGGCGACCCTTGGGGATAGAAATGTCACTAGTTAGTAATGAAGGTTAAATGAGGTACCCATCTCGGGTATGTCACGGATTAGGAAATCAGAAATCAAGCTTGGGATAAATATCAGCATGCGCAATATGCACACAGGCACAAGCAAGTCGAATAAAATGTGCAACTCCAAAAGAAACTTGAATGTGTTCCTGTCCAAATGATTGGTTCATTTTAGAACGCTGTTGCCCCGAAATACACAAGTGAATGTGTAGTCTAACAATGCCATTGTTCTTTTCATTTCGGAAAGATTAAGTATGCATAAAGTTAAAATAACAATACTGAGTGCTTGCAATACATCTAATTCCGATGACAAATGTCAACGTCTGAAAAGGCAAAACCAAAGGATTGCTGCCCAATCACCAACAGATTTTTGAGCTAAGAAGCCGCATGGCAATTTTCGCACCGTGGGCCCATTTTAGCCCTGCACATCCATTTGAATGCCACTTGAATTACAGCAGATACAACGCCCTTACAAGCGTTAGGAATTGACAAGGTATCACGAACACAGGAAGAGGAGACTGGTTTCGTCAAGATATCTCTGTCAAAAGGCAAAAGATGAGCGCATCAAATAAGGATGCGAGGTGACCTACTTGGATCTCGATAATTTATCTAGAGGGGCTCCAATTCTGGACGCCATGATTCCTATCTCCGTAGTGTTCATCTTCCTCTAGAGTGTATTCTCTACGCTTTTATAGTTTGTTCGGATTTACTTCCTTAATTCTCACTGCACACGTCTGCCTAAACGCATTCGAACCAGCCTAACGAGCATTCCATCTCTTGAATCCAACTTTTACGGATGAGCTTTACCTTCACATCTCGGTTTCTGTGCGCACTTTTCCAAAGCTTGAGCAGTACAACAACATTTGTGATGTCAAACGAAAGGAAAATCTGCGACCAACATAACGGGTCGTCAACCAATACTGTCGGCAACAAACTAAAGAGCCATCGAAAAATCTGTGTTCTTCATTGGTCGGCCAGTTAAAAAACATCGTATGTAGTCTTGAACGTCAAGCAACCTCAATACCCCCATTGGTCTAATTACGACCGAAACTATCACCTCCAGGCCGATTCGAATAAGTACGACCAGTGAGTTGCCAACCATCCAAGCTGTTCCGAACTGTCAGAAAGGCATCAACACCAGTGTTGGTTGGAATGTGGTTGCTGCCAAGGGCACCCGAAAACGTAGTCTTCTGCTATTCCCACTGGATCCATAATAAATACTGCAGGCTAGTCTTAAAGTACAGTCTCCACCGATAGTGTGCAGACAGTTGGGGCATTCGACCTCAAACCAAGCTACACAAACACCATTTAAAGACCGCAAATTTTATCGTCAGTGGTCAGCACAAAGGTTCCTGAATCCACATCAGGCAGTTTAAAAAGAAAGCAAATCGGTGACGTGAGTCAGAGATATAATAGTTGTTGTAACTGAGCTCTTCTAATTAGCACGGGTCATCCGTCACCCAGCCTCAGAGCACTACGGTGGACCGAGACTTCCCGGGTTGTATTGACTTCCACCGATTAAGCGGAAGCAGTTCTATTTTGGACAGCTCTCCTCCGGTATAGATCAGGTTCCATCCGCACCTTGCTGGATATTCCGTAGAGCAATCAGAAACAGGCGAGGCACGACTTGGGAAAATTACGAAATAAATCTGCAGCCAAGACCATCCTTGAACACTGTGTTCCTTAGGCTGGAGGACATGATGAGCGCAAAGTGACCAACCACGACCAACAGCAGTGGCGCTACATTTGCAGGAATCTCTGCTTGGAAAATGTCGTATCCAACTCGATCTCGAGGCTGAGCAGATCGCCAACTTGCAAAACATGTGGCACGAGGATTGTGGAGTGATGCTTCAATCCAGACATTTGTCAACAATGATATAGGAGTGCTGGTATGCGAGTCCCAGCAGAGTACCATCTGAGCTCATGCTCAAGACGGAGTCGTCTAAGCAAGCACACGGATGAGCAATTTACCCGAACCACTGCTCGGGAACGGTTTGAATAGCATCGTTAATCTAGTTGACAAAACCGGTGGTTACACCCCATAGCTTACATACAAACAGGAAGAAAAGATAGGAAATGGCTGGATCTCTGGATTGGACACAAATGAGTTCGCCACTGTTTCACCTAAAAACAAGCAGTGGCTGACATTTACTCGGCGTAATATTACTCCCAATACACCCCCTACTCACTACTGAGATTACAGAAACTTGCTTACCTGTACATCGATTCACAGTGTTCTGAACCAGCTTGGCGAACCGCAGCCACGTCAAGCATATCATTGGCTTGATCTGTTCTCCGTAAATGAAATTTCGTTGCTCTCAGAAATTATCGACCACGTGGTCACAATACACGGTATTTGCCTTACTCGAAACGATTGCTCCGGTAGGGGAGGTGGGATACTTTTATACTACCGCAGTGACCTACAATGCAATGCGATGTTTCGTCTGGAAACAGTGATCATAAGCTCTCTCCGGTGCAGTCTACAACTGAGACACAACGGCACCTGCATTGTGGCAGTTGTTTATCGTCCCCAAATATCCACCACAGAGATTGACTGTACTCTGCTATTAGCCTTAGGGAGCGTCCTGCGACGACGATATAGCCATGTGATCATCTCAGGTAACTCCAATATTCACGAGCTGGTAGTTCTGGCATAAGCCACTGAACAATTCTAGGCCGATCTACAGGAATTTGTTGAAAGTCTTCCGTTCCCCAGCCATGGCGGTTCGCCCACCTGATTCAGAGTAGGAAACAAACCATTTTTTCTTGATTTCATACTCACGAACCAAGAGTTCATGACCGATAAGCCAACGCTATAGAGTCCTATGGAGCTGCGTTGTCACGTGGCCATAATTTATGATTGTCTATTATTCGGAGTATCCGAGGGAACGCACCGAGTTGTGACGGGTGACTTGGTTGCTGAGCTCGGTGAGAGGCACTCTCGCAAAATCTTACCTGTGCTGGGCTGCGATACAACACGCTACGTAACAACCCACTGGTGATGTCACCTCGATTGGTGATGAAATGTTTGCAACAAAATTGCCGAGTTCAGTGAACAGTTCAACCAGCATTCGAAAAACATCAGCTACCAGTTTTCGTTTCTATAGCATTGACTTGTTTCGCACAATCACATATTCCAACATACAAATTGAGCACGTTATAGAAATTATCTGAGAGTTTTCGGATGAATTTGCCATTGGTAATACGTGGGTGGACTTTGTTGGCAAGTTCAATTCTCTGATCACATCAGCGTCGGAAAGCAAACCTCTTTTTCTGTAAGAGCACCATCATTCATATGAAGCGGGACTAGAAAACTCATGGTGGTAAGATATGCAGCGTGGCTTGCGTACAGAGCGGACCCCAGTCATGGCAACTGGAGTAACTAATTGGTGTAGAGCAATCGTTGTACCACACTTGTGCCTGAGGACATACCGACAGTGTCTAGCGGAAAGCTTTTGGGCTAATAACAAACTAGTCTACTGAAATGTGAACAGCATCAGGAACCTGCAGAATACTGTGCCCCCACTGATGACAGCAAATGCATGTGCTCAAACCGCCAAGAATGTAACCAACGCTCTACTGACGCGCCACCAGCAGGTGTCAGATACCTGTCTCATTCCCCAAGATGCAAGGATTCAACATCGTCACTTTTATTTCAAAAACCGTTTCGGGGTAGCTGCTATCAGTGGGTACTCATAGTTCGCCTGGTGTTGAATGCATTCACACGAAAGCACTGCAGGTGACAACGACTA